AATATTCGAGACATCAAAATCCAAGAAAGGATAGGTCTTCGATTGCTTCTCTTTAAGTGTTGACTTTATTGGCTGAACTTTTTGAGTTACTTGTTTTTTTTTTTTTCACAATGTCCTATTGTCTTTATTTTGAACTTTGGTTAAAACTTTGTTTATCTCTCTAACAATGATCTCTTCTTTGCTTTGAGTGTTGAAGGTATAATTGCCCACACTATTTGAAGTATTGTATTTCTCATCTTTTGAGAAATCTTTAGTAGGTGGTTCATATATTTCATAGACATCAGGCTCAATTCTATATCATGAGCGCGAGTGGCGAGTTCTTCAAAAGTATGGGGTCAAATCCCTTGTAGGATGTATTTCAAGTCCAAATGCATTCATTGTATACACATTTCTATGGCAGAAGCCTCGGAAGGACAGTCTTTATATTTGAGACTTAAACTTCTTCAGCGGTTGATGTAGTCAATTACTGACCCATCTTTCCATTGGTGGCTATTGGTAACTTTGATCATCCTGAAGGTTCTTTTCATGCTGTAGAATCAATGTAAGAACTCGTATTTTCAGTTGCTCTCAAATATCGATGGAACCAGCCTGTAAGTCAATGTACCAGTCAAAGGCGTTGCCCTTTAGTGACTGCACAAATTGTTGACTAGAAGATCTTCATATATTCCAATATCATTGCTTTTCTCGACAAAGTGCATTATATGTTGCTTTGGGTTGCCTATGCCATCAAATGGTTGAAACTTTGGTGGTTGATAGCCCAATGGTATTTTGAGGGCATCAATCCTTGCAGTGTAAAGTTTGACATAAATGTGCATCAACCTTGAACTTCCTTCAACTTCTTTCGATGGCTCATTTGATATACTTGTCAAGTTGTGATATATGGATGAAAGAGTTGGATGATGTTTAAAATGGCGTTGATTCAGCCGCCTTTTGTTTACCGTTGCGTTGATGTATATGTTGCTGCTTTATTTTGAGCCACCGGGGAAGATGGTTCCTTTTTTATGGCACGACCGGCTTCTTCAGGCTTGTCCAGCTTGGTGAAAAGTTTTTCAATGAGGGCATCTTGTTGTTGCATATGTTGAGACATCCTTTCAACGATTTTTGGCAATGCAGAAAGTTGGTCCTCTATATTTGACGCGTTGATAGTCATTACCGAAACAAAACTTGATGCAATTGAATGACTTGCAGTTTGTTGAGGGGTGAATGGTGCGAAAATACTCTTGAAGGTTTCGTCCTTTTCATAGCGTGAGTTTTGCTCTTTTATTTTTGAAGAACTGTCATCGGAGAACGAAAATGCTCTTTTGGTCATATTTTTTGTTATCATTCCAGCATTCGTTAGCGTTTGAGGTTCTTGATGCGGTAGGCGCGGAGACTCCATTGACGGCTTTTGATGCAACGTTGGAAGTCTTGGTCTTGCAGGGAGCCATTGGTCGTTGAGAATTCGACGAAAAAAATGAAATATAGAGTGGTTCCACTGATCTTACCAAAAATCTGTAGATAAAAAATTGTGTTATTTTTAATAAATACAAATTTTGTACAAATTATATTTATTTTAAATTTAAAGCGGGTCTTATTCTCTAAATGAGTCATTTGATTCTCTTTGTAGGTTGATTTATTTTTTAACTTGAATTTAGATGGCTTCTTTGATTCGAAAGGATTCGGTTTTCGGTTTGACTTTTCCGGACTTTATAGGGTTTTGGTCTCCGTACGGGCAAATTTGATTGCTGACTTTGGATTTGAAGACAGATTTTGATGGATTTGAGGCCTTGATTTTTGTGGAAGTGGATTTGATACTCTAGTTTAACTTTGCCAGACTTTAGAAGGCTTTGGTCTTCATGCGGACGATTTTGATCATCAACTTTAACTTCGGATGAATTTGGGGCTTTGATCATTGATGTGGTAGACATGATGTTCCATAACGCTTTTTTGCGGTGTGTCCCTTTTACTTTTGGATCAAAAAGGGCAAGTTGATGATTTGATGAAAATGCGATGAACGTTTTGAAGCTTTATGATGGACTTTGGAGGCTTTTCCTTGTTTTGACGGATACTTTGATGACTTTTAGACTTTTAATCTTTTCTTCGGCTTGGACATACGACGAAAAAATGTTAAATTTATCGATTCGCTAACCAATACTCGATCATTTGTCAAAATTGGTGACTTTTCGATGAAAAACACTTCGAATGACACAAGAAATAATGCAACGAATTTAGAAAGACTTACCATTACTCGAGTCTTTAAATGAACTTCGGTGTGCCAAATGAATTAACCAAGACCCCTATTCATAGGAGATGAATGGTCTCGACTTCTTTTTCGAATAATGCCATGCAACGCATTCTGATTAGACAACGGAAAGATTTTAGAATTTTTTTTTAATCATATGCCGTTTTTCATTATTGAAGAATTTGATTGCATGACTTCATTTTTCGTCGACATCTTTATATTATTTCCTTTTTCGAAAGATTTAATTATAATATTTCCTTTATTGACAAAATTTATTTAATTTATTGCCAAATTTATTATAGCCCCATATATATATATATGCACATAATATTTGTACGATATCTTTCATTTTAAGCAGCTTTTGAATTAATAATTGATATTTATTGTACAAGAATTAACATATATATGCATAATTAATATATATATTTATTAAAATTTTAATTTTCTTCCGATATACTACATAATATTTAATTTCATTTAGATATTTAATTTTTAATATTTACAATTAGTTTACTAAATTATACTCCCTCCATTCACTTACAATATTTACATTTATTTTTGGCTCGGTGCTTAAGAAATAATAGTATTTTAAATATAGTGAATAGCTAAAAGTAGTGTAATGACATTTTTGCCCTTACTTTTTTTTGTGTAAAAGTAATGATGTGATGTAAAGTAAGGGTATTTGTGGAAAAAAGTAGGGTATTTAATGAAATGTTAACTTTGTAATTGGACGTCTCAATAAAGAAATATCTAAATATTGTAAGTGGACGGAGGGAGTATTTCTTTGAGCAAAAATCATTTTTGGTCCTATTTAATACCACAATTATCAATTTTGGTCCCATTAAAAAAATTATCAATTTTGGTCCCACTCAAATGAAAATTTATTAATTTTAGTCCCAAAATGGTTGATTGGGACTAAACACGGCCGTGTTAGCTTGAACACGGCCGTGTTGGATGACTCAGAAGGTGACTGGGCGTCCCAGACAGCCAACACAGCCGTGTTGATTACCCTGCACTTCTGAACACGGCTGTGTTCTTGCCCGTATTCTGAACACAACCATGTTTCTGTCCATGTTCTCAACACAACCATGTTTTGGGCCATGTTTACGACCATGTTTTCAATTAATCATATTGTAGGTCATATTTATTATTATTTTCACTTTTTGGTTAAAATTATTTGATATAAATATATATATATTTATAATTCAACAAAAATATTTTTACAATTATTTCATAATATAAAAAATAATCAATATTTAATATTTTAAAAATATATAAAAATAATAATATATTAATATATTTTTAATAATACTCCATTCGTCCCACTTACCATGTCCACATTGCCGTTTATGTCCGTCCTACATCTCATGTCACTTTCATTTTTAGGAAAATAATTACACACTATTTTTTAATTTAGTTTTTTAATTTTAATTAGTTATCTTAATTTTAATTTATAATTATTTATATTACATGATAATTATTTTCACTAATACATTTTTAATTATCTATCAATTATACTTATTCTAAAATCTCGTGTCTAAAGTGACCCAGACATCAAACGTGAGACTGAGGGAGTATTATTTTAAAATATTATTTTGAATAATAAATTTAATTTATAATTTATAGAAATAATTAATTTAAAATAATATTTTAAATTTTTTACTATAAATTTTTAAAAATATATATTAATATATTATTATTTTTATATATTTTAAAAATATTAAAAATTGATTAATTTTTATATTATGAAATAATTGTAAAAAAATATTTTTTGTTGAATTATAAATATATATACTTATATCAAATAATTTTAACCAAAAGTGAAAATAATAATAAATATGACTTACAATATAATTATATTGAAAACATGGTCGTGAACATGACATAGAACATGGCTGTGTTGAGAACATGACAGAACATGGCTATGTTCAGAACACGAGTAGAGTAATCAACACGCGGTGTTGAGACCAACAAGGCCTTGTTGGCTGCCTGGGAAGCCCAGTTATCCAACACTGCCGTGTTCAGTCCAAATCAACTATTTTGAGATTAAAATTGATAAATTTTTATTTGAGTGAAACCAAAATTAATATTTTTTAAAATAAAATTAAAATTAATAATTGTGATATTGAATAAGATAAAAATGACTTTTACTCTATTTCTTTATTACCGTGTTCAAGCCAAACATATTTAGTTATATTGGACAGATGGAGATGGAGTACGCATCAATTTTTTTTATTTTATTTTTTATTTTTTTAATCCTATAATAGTTACGTACATGCAAGAATCTATAAAACTTAAAATCTATTTTAAAAACTTCAACATTTTGTTTTCAACATTTTTGTTATGTATAATTTATATAGTAAAAATACTTTATCTATCAATAATTTTCCTTTTCATGTTTAATTATTTTAATAAAAATATTATTTTCTTATTATTTTCGATTTGTCCATTGTAAAATATATATATTTTTATTGTATTATAACAAATATAATTATAAATTAATATCAAAATATCTTAAAATTTTCATATAAATTATATATATATTAATAAAAAAATATCAAAATCATGTATTATGCATTCAATTTTTTTTTCTTTATAAAATATATATTAAATAATATTTGAAAAGCATAAAACAAATTAAAACAGAAATCAGCAAAAATAAAAAATAAAAAATAAAAAATCAAATCCATTTTACAATTTCGGAAAACAACGCATTAACCCTAAATACGATTGTACTCTTGTAGCAATTTTCTGCTCTATAAATATGAGCCGGTGCCACCCGATTAGTCCAATTCTCACTTTCTCTCCCGCTCTTCTTCCACTTCGTGCCCTAGTCGATTTCGTATTTGATTCTGCTCCAAATCAACACATCGCTCGGTTAATTCTGGGAGACTATTTTTAGGCATAGCTGATTTGAGATTGTTTCTTCAAATTTGGACACATTTAGTTGGATTAGGAGGCAAATCCAGAGGAAAAAGGGTAGAATGGAGCTCGGAATGATTCAGCATCATCATCTTTGCTGTGTGACCTCTGCAGTCAATTAATTGTTTGGCGATGTCTTTCCATCTTGAGGGCCTGATTCTAACTTGCCGCGAAGTGGTAGCCTAGTTCAGCCGATTCTTTGATGTTTCGTTGCTGCCGCTGAAGACTTATGCAAGTAGGTGCTTTCTTTTGCGCCTTCTTTATTTGTTTGTACCCAAGTTATGTAGTTTGGTTAAAGTGCCCTTTGGGGTAAATCACTAGGCTAGGTTAAACTATAGTTCAGTCTCGCGGTTGAGCTGGGTTGTCTAAAGACGCGGGATGCTGTATGTCTCAATTTAGATTGTGTTTTGTGAGAAATAGACAACTGAAAGTGCTGCATGCATAATGTTCATGATAGGTGTCAAAATGGCTAAAGCGAAAAAGTCAAAGAACGAAGAGCAACGAAGTGGAGACACTAGTAATTCAGATGCAGTTGTGAAGCATCAGAAGCTGTGTCTCTACATTGACATAGACAGGCAGCGGATATATGGGTTTGTACTTCATCTCAACTAATTTTAAGTATCTTTCAATTCTCAGGGTATTCTTTATTTTTATTAATGCCCATGCTATTTAAAAATGATTAACTTTTATGTTACCAACCACAATGTAACTTGTGAGTTATACTACTACTACTACCGACCGGTACAGTGAAACAAATGGTTAGATACTTAGATAATGCTAATGATGATTTTGCTGAGGATTTTTTTTTTTTTTTTTTTCATTTGATTTAAGGTTTGTTTATTCTTTTTTCGCCACTGCCTTGTGAGATATTTGTCTGGCTTATAGCTCATTAAATGATAAGTGTGAAAGAGTGGATGACAAGAACACATTCTTGACATCATTTATTGGCCAAATTTTATTGTGTAATGGAACACACAACTGCTCTCGAGGTGGTTGCAAATGAGAGAGAGAAAGATGTTTACATGTCAGTTGCATCTTTTAGTCGTAATTAAATCATTGAGACCCATGGGGGTGGTGGGTGCTGCCAAGATAACCCTGTGAGGCAATAGATTAAATAGAGTCAACAGGAAGCTATTGAGACACGATGCATAAATGGGGACTGTGCACTCAGCCCTACTATGACCAGGATTATATATGCCTCATAGTTGTCTATGGTGTGTGCACATTTATCCCTAGTAAGAGTTGTTGTGGTGTTGTGTCTTCAGTGGTTTTTACTCAAGTTATCCTTTCATGTGAAATTCTTTAAAGTTTTTTCATTTTCCTTCACTCTGTTATTTTTTTTTTTTATATTTTTAAATATATACAACTAATCCTCTAGTTTTGGATAGTTTCTTTAGACTAGTAGTTTCTGGTCATCTTTGATAATAGTATAAGTTGATATGATATGCAGCTGTTATTTATAAAATCTCTTTATTTTACTTGCTGTAGAAGATATCATTGATTTTATATAATTATTTGGAAGTCATATATGTTGTGCATGGTCTGTGCGCCCTGCACTGTGACTTTAGGAAGGTCTTGCGGCATGGAATGTTATCTGCTACAGACACTTTACTAGTGACTGCACCATTCATTTCATTATCAAGAGCTATTTTTTCATGATATAACTAGTTATTGATGTGTATTGGGTTGAGTTGTCCCGACCGGTTGAGAAAACTACATGAATTCTGAGCTGTAAGGATTTATTTTTGGTAGCTTGATTACCTTTAAGCTTTGGCTAATTTACCCTGCCAGATTGTGTGCTACTTTTTATTTCTTTCCTTTTCTCGTTGCAATTGAGAAATGCATGGTTCTCATTTTATCTACTTTATCATTGCAACAAAATGCTATACTGCAATTCATTCTGACATAAATTGTGAAGTAATAAATTGTGGGATGCAAATTCTGTTACAAGCTTTGGCATTTGCAACTTCAGGTATACTGAAATGCAGATAGTTGTACCGGATAATGGAATTGTGGGCTTGCATGCGGATAATTTGGCTATTGAAAAGGTTACAGTTGATGGGGAGCCGGCAGAGTTTGAAGTATTCCCTCACTACCAGCATCTGGATCCAAAGGATAGATGGTGTGTGGTATCATCAGCCACTTCTGCTGCTGATGCATCCGGGTCTGTGTATTTATCATCTCTTGAGATTGAACTACTTCCAAATTTGCTGATAATGTGTAGCAAGACCACCAAAACTGACATTAAGGAAGAAGATCATTCACAGATGGAGAATGGCGAACCATCATCAACTGATGCTAGCAGGTTTTTGAATGGTTATTTCTCTGCTGCTTGTGTTTTTGCAGGCCATACTGTGTTTCCTTCCCTGTTTTTCATGTATATAAATTTTAGTTGCATTTAGAATGAGTAGGATTTCATTTTATGCATGCTGAATGGACTTGTATGGGTAGTTTCTGGAAAGAATTCAGTTGTACTAAGTTGCTGGAAAGTTTGCATCTACTCATTTGTTTGAAAAATTATTTGTCATTGAAATGAAAACTAGCTCCCTTGCATTTTGTAGTTGAAACTGTAAAAAGGTTATATAATCAAATTTACATTCAATGCTTAATTAATTTGTTTGTTTCGATTTGTACTCTACCAAATTAGATTGAAACCCAAGCTTAGCGAACAGTAACTTCCCTAAATAACTTTCTTGAATCCTGTTTAAACTCAAAACACTTATCGTTAAATACTTTCAATATCTATTTAATTGTTACCTGTGTTAATTTCAGCTTACTTTCAAATTTATATATTCACAAAATTTTATGCTTTACTCTTCAGACTGCCCACCAGTCCCATACATTTAATTATTATATGACATTTATGTTTGGAATGTAGAGAAGTATTCACTGAATTTAGTTCAATCTAAACACTCATTACTCACGCAAGTTTACACCCAAACACCGTGAACAAGAGTAAATTGCATCTTTTAGTATTATGTAGTTGGAAAAAAAAAAACAAAACAAAAAAAACCATGCACATGCAGCCTAGCAGCAAACGCTGGTAAGAAATGGATTTCGTAGTATATATGCCTGTTGTGAAATGTTGATATGGAAACTTCTTAGGCTTGTTTTGTATCTATCTGTCCTTGGCATTGCATCTTTAATCAATTCATAGAAGCTCAGTCTGCATACCCACAATGGAAAGGGCTTTTCTTTCTTTTTTTTTCCCCCCAAGCACACCAATGAATTTCATTAGAGTTGGCCACATGATTTACTTCAATGACTAAATATAACTTTCACATTAACTATAATTAATTGATAATCTGCTATATTTTCTTTTTATGTTAGATTTGAACAGAGTGTAAAGCATGTACGGATCGAATATTGGGTAGAGAAGGCAGAAACTGGAATTCATTTTAATGGTGATGTCTTACATACGGATAACCAACTGAGGCGTGCACGGTGCTGGTTTCCTTGTATTGATGACAGTTTACAGTGTTGCAGGTATTCACATGGATAAGTTATTGTCTTGATAGGCAAAACATTTGAATGACTTTGCGCTGCTGATTTAACTACCAATCCTTTTTTGTAGCTATGATTTGGAATTTACAGTGGCCAGTAATCTTGTGGCAGTTAGTTCTGGAACTTTACTTAATCAGGTGAGATTTACTTGTAATATTATTTTATTTGATTCACAACGCACATTTTTACTGATATTTAGGCAATACATATTTGGAAATTGCACTTTCTCGTACGGGAATCCTACATAAAAGAAGGGCAACAATACGAATTAAACTTTGGACCTGCTGTATATATATAATTCAACTTTTCTTTGGATTGACTTTTTTCTTTGATAGTTGAGATGCGAGTATTGAAGGAGACATCACTATTTTTCTTTTGAGGAATGATCAAAATTTGCATATTCCAGCATTAGTTTAGTACTAGCCACTAATCATCTATGACATGTTAATGGCTACCTGCCTCCCTACAATTCATAGCTTTTTTTTTTCATATATATTTTTTTATTTTATGTGGGAGGATGGATTTTCTGCTATCTTGAACTTATTAGGAGGTACTTGTTTCTTAAGATGTTCAGTTGGCATGATATTTGAGATGATTTGGGGAAAATACATGGAGCAGAAATGTTGGTATCATGTTGGAAATAGACAAAGTGAAAAGTGTTTCCCCTTTGATGTAGTTCCATCAGTTTGAACTTCTATGTTTGTAAATCTGTGATTTTGCATTTTCTTTTAAATAACCCTTTGGTCAGGTTTCAGTGGGGTATATTTATATTATAGTGGCTAGTGATGGCTTTATGAAAGTATGATACAATGGTGTTCCTTGGGTGTAAACACGGATTTGGAATCTTGCTCTGTCATACAGTATTTACTGAAAGCCTTGCAATATTAACTTCCTTCAAACATATAATATCTTTTATGAATTGATATTTATAGCCTTTTGGTACTAGGTCTTGACAAGGGATGATCCACCAAGGAAGACATATATTTATAAATTAGATGTTCCTGTTGCTGCTCAGTATATATCTTTGGTAGTTGCTCCGTTTGATATTCTTCCTGATCAACATGGTGTTCTTTTATCGCACTTTTGTCTACCTGGTAATTTGTCAAAGCTGCAGAATACAATGGTGTTCTTCTACAATGCTTTCAGGTATTCCTACCATTGATATGTCTCTATCCTGATTGTAGCTCCTTGCCAATGTTATTGCCGATCTTGATATCTTGTCTTCTGGTCCTAGTGTCTGTTGTGCTTGGAATTTAGTTGAATTGTTGCGAACTCATGCACTTAAAATTTAATATGAATTCTACTTAATAACAAAGTCATGTGTATGTTGACAGCCACTATGAGGATTACCTGTCAGTGTCTTTCCCATTTGGATCATATGCACAAGTTTTTATTGCTCCTGAGATGACAGTGTCATCGTGGAATGTGGGAGCATCTATATGTATCTTCAGTTCTCATCTGCTATTTGATGAAAAGATCATTGACCAGGTATGCTTACTGATTGATGACCCTTCACAATTAATGAGCTTAAAAGAAATGATAACTTCAGTTACTGTGATAATAAGGGCTGACAATGCAATAAATTGGCACACAATGATGGTAGTTTTCTTTTTCTACCCCAGGGATTACTTAATTCATTCTAGTTCATGGGTTAGGAAAAACCTTGGGTGTGCTTGTTTGAGGTTTTGGATTTAGATTTTTGAATAGTAAAATTTTGAATTTGAATAGTTGTTTGATGTATTTTTGAATGTAAATTTGTTTATTGGTATAATAGAAAAAAGGTTTTGATTTGATGTTTTTTGGGGGAAAAATTAATTAAATAGTAAAAAATTCACAAAAGAACACAACCTTTATTTCTCTTTTCAATTTGCATGTTTATATAATTATATACAATTGTGATTGGCTTTCCACACTGAGCAGAGGGCTTTTTAATGTTTTATTTTATTTCTTTTTATTTAACCATTTTAATTAAATGATTTCATGCTGCAGCAGTATTCACTTCCAAATGAGTGGTTATTTTATTGCTCTTATGCAGGCAATACATTGAATTTTCTTCTTTTCCCTAAAAACATTTCTCATGCATGTTCCAACCAATTTGCTCATTACTAAAATACATAAAAGAGAGTTAGAACTTTTTGCTTGCCAGACTATTAATTCACTCTAATTTGTGCATTTTTGGTTATTTTATTTATAGTAATGTATTTCCTGAACAGACTATCGAGACAAGGATCAAACTTTCATATGCACTTGCCAGGCAGTGGTTTGGAGTATACATCACTCCTGAAGCTCCAAATGATGGTAATATATGCATAAATATGTAAATTACATACTTGCATCATTACTTATCGAAATAATCTTTTTGATTTATTGCTTTACTCCCTTACAGAGTGGTTGTTGGATGGTCTTGCGGGTTTTCTAACTGATTCGTTTATTAAGAGATTTTTGGGGAACAATGAAGCACGCTACAGACGATTCAAGGTTCATTTCCTATAGTTTCAGTTGGTTGATTCATTTCCTATTGTTTCAACATTAGAGTGATAGTTTTTTTCTTATTTGGGAAAAAAAATTCTTAAATTACTTCATTTTCCAATGCAATTTTTTGTGCTGTTGATTTATGCTTTCTATAAGAGGCCTACATATAGTGTTAAATGTCTAAAGTTGACAAATTTTGAGAACTGGCACACGAAGCAACATGAACTGTTCATTGATCTTTTTCTAGTTTTCTCAAATCTGTGCATCAATGGAAAAGTAGTATCTGAAATGTCCTTTCTCTCCGAAAAAAAAAAAGGCAAAGTGAACAAATACTCCAACGTGGAATATGATATTGACTACCTTTATGTTATTATTAATTATTTATTTATTCCTGAAAGCGAAGGCTCTAATGGAAAAGATACATTAATGTGGTGGATTTTTCTGTTGGAAGTTTCATAGAGCTAGAGAAAATGATAAGCAATATTCTGCCCATCATCTAAGATAACCAAGCATTCATTCCTTGGCTGAGATTGCATACTATACTATTCTACATGATGAATTATTGATAATTTGTGTAGTTGTCTGTCACCCAACAGCTTTACCTTATTTTGAATGTACAAGTGATGTATACTTTTCTCTATTAGTAAATTCACTGGATTATATATATATATATTACAATGAAACTAGATCTGGCTGATGTGAGGTTGCATCATTCTGTGTTCATTTGCAGGCAAACTGTGCTGTTTGTCAAGCAGATGATAGCGGTGCTACTTCCCTGAGTTCTGCTCCTGCATCCAAGGATTTGTATGGAACTCAACGCATTGGCTTTTATGGGAAAATAAGATCTTGGAAATCTGTAAGATTTATTTTGCTAGGTCAAAATTGATGATCAGTACCTTTAATGAATAATTTTTTCTTCGGTTATCTAATAGGTTGCTGTCCTCCAAATGTTGGAAAAGCAGATGGGTCCCGAGTCATTTCGTAAAGTAAGAACTGAAAGCTTGAATTTTTGAAAGACTGACGCAATATATATATATATATATAGATAACACATATATATATAGCACCTTTGTTTCGGAAGAATCTGTACTAATGTTCCTTGTTTGGGGTTTATTTTATTTTATTACTAATTATTCCATGTTTAAAGGGTGAAAACCTGATATTTTTGCTTCCTTGCACCAGAATTCCGCACCTCTACAACTTCTCTATTCTCTTAGCATATGTTGGTTTACTTCTTGCATGCTTCCAAGAATTAATTGCTCCTTTTGCACTAGTTCCAGTGAGTTTCTTTGTGGTCATGATACTAGCTATATCACTTGCTTCATAAAGTGTTGGACCAGAATCTTGTTAATATGGCAACTGGATGGGAAAACTCTTCTTCAAACACCTTTTGTGCAGAAGTAAGCTCATAGATAAAATTATTTCAAATAAATCAGCAGCGGCTGATTCTATACATAAAGTTGTATGGTTATGTAGAGTGTAATGATTCAAGGATAGAAACAAAAAATTTTGGTGTATATATTGTTAAGTAGAGATCCGAGTTCCAACTTAAAAAACCAATTGGTATTAAGTAAAGTTACCCTCTTGATAAGTAATTGGAGTTCCCACATTTTTCCTGTATGGGATAATATTAAACACTCTTCTCGAGATGATAATCTCGAAATCCTAACCAAGATCAATACTCAATATGGACATTATGGCTTTGATACTATGTTAAGAAGGGATCTGGAGTTCCAACATAAAACTAATTGATATTAAGTGGAGTGGTCTTTCACCCTAAGTAACAAAAGTTCCCACATTTTTCCTATGTGGAACAATATTCAACACTCCCCTCGAGATGATAATCTCAAAATCCTAACCAGGATGAATACCCAATATGGGCACCACGGCTCTGATATCATGTTAAGAAGTGATCTTGGGTTCCAACTTAAAACTAATTGGTATTAAGTGGAGTAGTAATTTAGCCTTATGAGTAACAAGAGTTCCCACATTTTTCCTATGTGGGACAATATTCAACACTCCCCTAGAGATGATAATCTCGAAATCTTAACCAGGATCAATACCCACTACGGGCACCATGGCTTTGATACCATGTTAAGAAGGGATATGGGGTTCCAACTTAAAACCAATTGGTATTAAATAGAGTAGTCCTTCACCTTACAATTAATAGGAAGTTCCCATATTTCCTATGTGGGACAATATTCAAGATATATAATGTAGCTGTAGGTTTGACAAGGGTTGTGAACTATTTTACTTCCACTCGCTACTAATACATTTTTTTGCGTAGTGCATTGGTACAATCATATCATGCCTATTCTGTGTGGTGGACTTTCTTAGGTCATACTGGATATCGCCTCAAAACTTTTTGCTCCATATTTTAGCAAATAACAGAAACAATTGTTGCATTCTGGTTTTTGTATAGGAATGCCCGGATTGAGGTGGTTTTTGTATAGGAATGCCCGGATTGAGTGTCTGCTTTGTTTTAAGCTTAGCAGCAAGAGCACTTTCTGTCACTGACATGCATATTAACTTTGCCCCACTCATTCATATTGAGGAAGTGTTTAGATTTGTTTATGCGACGTCTTTTAGCCTTTAGTTTGATGTCAGCTAAAAGGAAAAAGAAAACACTGAAAATATTGGGATTTTATACTGAATGAACAAAGACCTCTCTTGCTTTGAGTACATGCTCTGATAAGAGTGATATACTTTCATCATGTTATTTATACTTGTCGACTTCCTACTTTTTATTTGCATTATCTACAATACAGCACATAAATGATTCATCTTTTATTTTAACATCTACGTCTTCCACATGCGTATGGGCTCTTGATATTATTTAATTTTGTCTACAGATTCTACAAAGTATTGTGTTAAGAGCTCGTGATGGTAATCGTGATTTGAGAACTCTGAGCACCAAAGAGGTAAATTGAAGTCCGTTGTTCTGTTTATAGAATTATGGATTGTTCCATTCATTAGAGAATTGTCATAGCCAAAGAGGAGTTACTGATTATTTAATTTTATCTTTTTTGGGGGGAGGGGGGAAGAAATTTTATTTATATACAATTAGGAGGAAAACTCACGCATAGAAATCCAAGAGGTATAGGGGATACGAGGGTGCTTCTAATATTTATAGGATTTCATGTTTGAAGTTGTCTCATTTCATGTACCTTCTAATTACATTTGTGTAGGGTAAAGGAACTATAATCCAAGTAAACAAGCTTTTGATTTTTATGGTGGCTGTGATTGTTTGTTTACTTAAGTATCTTTTAGTATTTTCATGGTGATTGGTTTTGTCAGCTTGAGTTATCCTAGTATTGTCTTTATAATGCAATCATACTTTATTTGTTATATTTGTTGAAGGTATGTACTTGGTCATAGGTGACAAAGGGTTTCATGTAGAACGAGCTGACATATTGTACCACTTTCATTTATTTATTTTAAGCTTGTCATAAGAATATATATATTTATTGTTTTTTTTTTTTTTTTTTTCTCCTGTACAATTCTGATCTGTTCCAAGTGAAGTGAACATATATGTAAGGGTATGTAACTCTAATGGTACTTGGCTTGTTGTTGCAAAATGCTCCCTTTTTCTCTCTTTGCCTCTTAAGTCAAAGAGCCAATGGTTTTGCCAGTTTATTCTCTAGTTGAGCTTATGTATTATGATGAGAAATTATTTTTAGAGGTTTGGATGGTGAAAATGTTAAACTTCTTGTGAATTCAGCACTCTTGCATCTGTTGACATTATCTATTTGTATTTTTCCATTGACTATTTGGTTCAGTATCCTTTTTATGAATATCAATCATACTTGCTTACCATTCTTTATCATTCAAGATTTCAAGTAAATCATTATTTGTTCCAATACTACTTTTGGCAGTTCCGGCATTTTGCTAACAAAATTGGAAATCTGGAGCGCCCATTTCTTAAAGAATTCTTTCCTCGTTGGGTTGGATCATGTGGTTGTCCAGTGCTGAAGTATGATTCTTACTCGATGTTTGCTATTAATTCTTGGAACTGTTGAGTTTTCAATGATACCACTTAATTTTCAACTTCACTTTTGGTTCACTAAGGATGGGATTCTCTTACAACAAAAGGAAAAATATGGTGGAATTAGCTGTGCTTCGGGGGTGCACGTCCGCACCTGATTCCTGGCTGGGCATTGATAATATGAATCCTGATTCTGAAAATCGAGAAGGTGGTATTGGGTGGCCTGGAATGATGAGTATTAGGGTCCATGAGCTTGATGGCATGTATGATCATCCAATTTTGCCATTGGCCGGTGAACCATGGCAACTGCTGGAAATTCAGTGTCATTCAAAACTTGCAGCAAAACGCTTCCAGAAACCTAAAAAGGGCTTAAAGACTGATGGCTCTGATGATAATGGTGATGCTATGGCCACTACTGATGTACGCTTAAAGTATGTGATTGACGTTGCATGGTTTTGTGCCTGGATTTGTAATGTCGTCCGTAGACTTTCTTAAATGTTGACAAAATTCTCAGATATGTTAATATGAATATGCAGCTCTGATTCCCCACTTCTGTGGCTTCGGGCAGATCCAGAATTGGAGTATCTTGCTCAAGTTCATTTTAACCAACCTGTGCAGATGTGGGTGAGTGAGTCTAAAATCCATGTTTTTTATTATATCTGTAGGGGGATAAGCAATTTCTTTGATGCTTGCTACAAGTAAGGTCGCAATTAACGTGTAAAATTTTTACTTATACATGAAGTAGTGATTGTTATCAGTTCTATAGTAATCTTCAATGCTAGTCACCAGAGATCATAGACAATTATAATTCTCTACTTGCCATTTGCATATAATTGTGGTCAATGAAAGTAAGTTCATAATTAATCTTAGGTCTCTTAATAAAACTAAATAGCTCTTTTAATCTATGTGCCGACATGAAGCAAATCACATCATACAAGTGAATTCATTAGGTGAATAATTGTTGGATTCAGTGTGGGTTTCATTAATAATAACAATAATATAATATATATAATTTTCATATGTTGCTATATTATTCGTTTAAAGGTTAAGATGTTTTGCTTCCTTTCATTATTGACTTATGTTTGGATGGTTTGTTTTCCTGTTTGAATTGACATTTCTTATTCTTTACCCACTATGATGAAGACTAAGTTGCGGCTGTGGTGATGACTTCTCTAATTAAAATGATTGAAGTTTGGTGATTTTTCTTCCACTCTGACAATCTTGATTCTTGTCTGTTATCTTTTTTAGATAAATCAGTTGGAGAAGGACAAGGATGTTGTTGCCCAGGCACAAGCTATAGCAGTATTAGAAGCATTGCCACAGCTTTCATTTTCTGTTGTCAATGCCCTGAATAATATTCTTTCTGACTCCAAGGTCTTTTTGGCAACCTTTATCTTTAAGATGCATCATTATCTGCATACATCATTGAGCAAACTTTGTATTTGCACTTTTTTTGGTGTACAGGTCTTCTGGCGAGTTCGTATAGAGGCTGCATATGCATTGGCTGCAACCACATGTGAGGTATAATCAATGTTACTTCTATTTACTAAGCATTATTTATTTAGTGGGAGGATTAAATAAGTATATTGCAAGAAAGGATACTTGTTATGTTATTTGATAGTTTGTGATCCTAGTAATATGATGAACATGTTATATTCTTTATTAAAATTGCTGTTTTCTTCACAAATGCCACAGTTATTTCAATTATGGGCAGCCTTGGTTGTTTATGTGTACTGTATGTTGCATTTGTTGCTTTTGATCATTGCTATAAGATTGTGACATGGAAGTCTGGCGATCTTAAGGTTTATTTTAGATGAGGAAAGAAGGACCGAGTTTACTTAGAGTTTGGCACAAAGTTGATTACTCTAGAATGGGCTTCTATTATTTCATTTTATTTTGAGTTCTTAATGTAAATGGGCTCATATATATATATACAAGGGTTCATCTAGGTCAAATAAATATAAGAGCCTATATAGGTCATAGGGGATTATTAGGTATTTGGTTGATAATGGCTTCCACTTGGTAACAGGGATAATCGGTTTTCGTCTGTATGATTAATTAATTGAATTCTCAATAAAGATCATTGTTCTAGTTTTACCCTACATTCTATTAGTTGGTCCGACCTACCGGATTTTCCTTCTGATAGAATTATGCCTGCCATTACTTGAGGAAGAACGTCTGGATGATTTGAAATAATTGCTTGAATTTTTGAGGGAAGAGATGGCTCAAATTCTTTGTAACATCACAAAAAAGCTTGAAACCTAGGGAAAGCATACTTGCCAATGCCATATTGACAACTCAGATGGCGACGATGTGTGAGGAGTTGCTGGCGGCAATTGATGCAATGGCAGGCTGTACTAGTGTAGCCCCCACGACTGCTGAATCTGTACCCCTAACACCGAAACTAGTGCAACCTAGGGTCAAGCCACCAGTCTATTTTACTAGAGGCGAGGGCCACAAACAAAAAAACGGATCCGTTCTTTTGCTCTTTGATATAAAGTTGCCGCCTTTCGATGGCATAGAACCAATCTACTGGGTGGTTTGGGTGGAACATTACTTTGACCTTCATTAAGTGAGTGCAAAACTCAAGGTAGCCACTATCCACGGCACGGATTGCCATGGAAGGTGTAACTCTTCATTAGTCCAGATTGTATCGTATTCACCTTCTTCAAGCTTTGGTACTTCGATTTGATTATTGGTTTGTGATAAGTCCTTATGAGCATTTGGCCACAATTCAGCAAAGTGAACCAGTCGATCAGTACTTCAACATATTTATGAGCTAGCAACGCAAGTTTCAAGACTATTCAATGAACATTATCTAGGTTACTATATGGAGGGGTTACGACATGACATTCAACGCTTTGTCGACGCTAATGCCCAAGTCTGCGGGATCGTCGAGAGAAGTGAGTTTATAATCTGGGGGTGAGGAGCAGATGATGGCGCAAGGGAGTGCAATAAGCCACGAAAATGGAGTTGACAACAATAAGTTATGAATGAGATGTAATATTGCAGATAGACTTACTGCTAGCGCCAAGCAATCGTTGGTGTGAGCTCCTTTTTGGAAGCTAAGTCGTGCCAAATATTAGAATTGTCCATCAAAAAGGCTTTGCTACCGCTGCAAAGAACCTTATATGCCCTTGTATAAGTACACAAGTAAATCTCATCAAGCATGTTTGGCTAATCCATGAACGATTGGGTGGCTGAACTTAAGAAGATGCATGAGCTTAAAGTTTGGGAAGGCAGAAAGGAAAAGGTAGGTGAACTCGAACAACTAGAGCACGTCGAAGATGGGCAAGTGGAATTGCCCCTATTCACGCTGGTGTGTTTTACCAGCCAAATACTACGACTCCCGTGCTATGTTAGGGGGGTCGAGAAGTTACCATTCTCATTGATAGTGGTATTAGCCACAATTTTGCTTCGCAATATGAGAGCTTGGGGCTAATGTGGAACCATAGTTGTTAATAGCGCGCAATAGCGTGCTGATGGCGGTGTTGCGGAGCGGAGAAGTAGTCCGCTGCTGCCACTGTACAATGCCACATTTATATGCAATAATGACCATAGTACCGTTTAGCAATGACGCTAATACAATGAAAGAAATGAATGAAGAAAAATGACCCCATCTAGGATATGATTGTTCGAGTAGAGTGGTGAGGACTGAAAATAAAGAAAAAATATTATTTAATAGATTTGGACTCTGATTAACTTTGATTATCTATTTATCAAAGTCGTAGTGATCTAATTATTTTTGTTCATATACAATGATCATATATGTTTTGACATTTATTAGTTTGAATGCTAATTATAAGATTAATTTATAGGTTTTTTTTATACATTTTATATTTTAAGTTTGTATAAATATATATTAATTCTTATAGGTATATAGTTTAAGTTTTTTAATAGATTTCATTCCGCTATCCCGCCATAGCATTTTAGAAGTTGACCACTATATATATAATGCTATCCGAAATCGACAACTATGCTTGGAACCAATAGAGCTTTCAATGTGGTACTTGGGGATGGTTGGCGGTTTCGAAGTGATGGAGGTTGTTGTGGGTTAGCAGGTGAAGGCTTAGATTGGATCGTGGAGAAGAGAGTGTGCCCTATCAAATTCATAACTTTTGCCTTGAGGACAAGACAATTCTAAGGGGGGTGGAGTTGATATGAGGTTGGGCGATCTTAAGGTTTATGTTAGATGAGGAATGAAAGATTAAGTTCACTTAGGGTTGACCAGAGCACAAAGTTGATGACTCTAGAATAGGCTTTTGTTTTATTTTATTCTAATTTTTTTTAGTCTTTAATTTATTTAATGTATCTTGAGTCAATAATGTGGGCAGCTTCATCTAGGTCAAATATATATAAGAGTTTATTTAGGTCACCTGGGGATTATTAGGTTTTTGGTTGATAATGGCTTTGGCTTGGTAGCTGGGAGAAATGATTTTCATTGCAAGATTAATTCATTGAAATCTCAATAAAGTTCATTGTTTTAGTTTTACCCTACGTTCTATTAAATTGCTCTTTTAGAGTATGCTGTGCCAAGTTTGTTTTCATATACGTAGCTGAACCTAAGGCTTTCATATATTTTAATGTTATATTAATAACTCTGCTTTGTCATGCACGATACAGTTTTTCCAATAATTTTGACGATATTATACTTCTGAGCTTGACACTCTTATCCTGTTATGTTACTTTACTCACTAAATAACCAGGACACTGATTGGATTGGCTTACTTCATCTAATCAACTTCTATAAAAGTCGAAGATTTGATCCCAATATTGGGCTTCCGAGGTATATTCTCAATGAATGTCTAAAAGTTGAAATAATTATGGGATTACCATTTTCAGTGTTTTAATTCAATACTCCTTCATTGTTAGGCCAAATGACTTTCATGATTTTCAAGAGTACTTTGTACTTGAGGTAATGCACTGAGGTAGGATTGGATATTATAATACCATAGTATTTGCATTTCAAATATCACTTGTCGACCTCTTGTGCCTTACTTGTTTTGTTCCTTTATGCACTCTATTTTGTCTTAGTAAAACACTTGAGATTTTCTTGAAATGCTTTTCATATGGTGATTGTACTGCTGCAATGCCTCTCAGAATGTCTCTAAATGAGCATCTGTATGTGACATTTTTTTTACATGCAGCTTCCTATATTCATAATTTCATAGAAATAATGCTAACATACCTTTCGAACTTCAGTTTCATTTTTCTTGTTTTTCTAGGCTGCTTGGAATATGCTTTGTTTGGGTGTTTGGATTTTGAGTTGAGATTTGAATTGTAAAAAGTTTTGAATTGTAAATTGTAATAGCGGTGTGATATGACATAAATAGGGGTTGATGTGATGTTTTTAATGTAAAATTGATTTTTAATATAATATAAAAAAATAAAAAATAGGTATTTGATTTGATATTTTTAGGAGAAAAAAATTGGTAAATAGTGAAATCTGGTCAAATATCTCAAACGAACACACCATAGGTGAAAGGACCAAAGGAAAGAAACATAAATGATTAGTAGTTCAGCTATCAAGTTTCCTTGGGTGTGTGTGAACTATTTTGAATGGATCTTTGTTAATCAAGTTCTGAATATTTTGACAATGTCAGAATTGCTGAGTAATTTCCTAATGTTATGTTACACTTTATGTTTAACAAGAGGTTTTGTTTGAGGCTTGTGCCTCGATCTGAGATATTCAATCTCAAATAAAACTGTGATCTTAGTTAGACTTGTTCTTTTCATTTTTGGGAAAGAGAAGGATATTTCATCAATAGTGAGATAGCTGAGTTACAGCTTAAGGAGCCATCATGTCCCTAACATAGGTCGGAGTGGTAGAAGACTAGAAAGAAATAAAATAAGTGAAACACTTTATTTGACTGACACTTAAACCAGACTGAGTTAGTTGAGTTTCTTCTTGTGCAATATTGGCAAGAAATCTGCCGTTCCCATTTGTGCTATTTGTGAATATTCTTTCTTAAACACAACTAGCAATCATGACAGTATAATCCATGGCATATTTATTGATCGTTCCGTACCAAATCAATATTTCTATCAGCGGATTTGCTGTCAATTTCATCTCTTCTAATATCTAACATTTGGAGGATAGAGTAATTTTTTCCTGTACTCTTCCATGCCCTATTCTCTGGTTTTTTTATTCATCAAGTTCTTACCCTTTGACCTTCCATCATTGTCAAGTTAAATACTGTGCTTCCGCTAAAAGGAACGTAAAATTTGTTTCTGCCTTCATGTGGGTTATTTCCTGTATGTAAACTGGAAAATCGAGTTGAAACTTGATAAGTTGGGTGTTAAAATTGTCTTTTAGATACTGTTTTAGGGCTCCCTTCTGGATTGTTTTACACCATTCAGTGTTAATATTGGATTCTTGTTCTATTTGGCTAGATAAACTTGTAATTCTAGTGAACTGAAGTATTTATTCCACAAAGAAACATAGAGTAGGTGTGTTTCTTTGGTTGTAAATGAATGAAACTTGTACCATTATGTAGTTTGTTTAAGACTTATTGTCCATTTTAAGGTTATGATTAACATGAAGTTGAGTTTTATTAAACAGAAATGCTTTTTGTCAACCATTTTGTTTTCATTCAGGCAATACCACATGCTATAGCTATGGTCAGATCTTCAGACAAGAAAAGCCCTAGAGAAGCTGTTGAATTTATATTACAACTTTTGAAGGTATGTTATTTTCTATTTAACGATCATATGGAGCTAGAGGGTTGGGTTCGATGATTTTTTGAATGAATGAATATAATAATCTCTGTTATCTTTTATTTGTTATAATACATACTCTTTTTTTAAAAATATACTGTGCTGCCTTATAGCACCATTTGCTGATATGAAAAGCTATATGCTTGAACATTTGGCGGGTGAAATGCTCTATAGTCTTTGGATTTCATCGTTGTCCAAAACTCATAAATAGGTGTTGCTTGGTATCATGATTTGTAGTCTTCATGCGCATATGTGTAGGGATATGGTTAGATTTTTGGTGCTGAATGGAATGAAATTCATTGCTAAAACACGTCACTTAATAATGTTTTTTGTTTCCAAATATAGATTTTTTGTTTCCAAATAAAACTTGCTGATTCTGTCTAAAAATTAGGGTTTTGATTACTTACATCTATTTTCACAATTTTCACACTTTATCGAATTTCCCCAAAATATCACATCAAAAATCTATTCTCAAGACACCAAAATACTTCCAAAACACAACAAAACAAATATTGAGTGCTATGTTCATTTCCAGTGCGTCAATTTGGTTGTAAATATTTTTTAACTTCATGTATTGCCAATTTTTGTAAATAAAGAGTCTTATCTTTGGTTGTTTGCATGGAGGTCATGTCCATGTCAAATTGATTTTACAAGCCATTTGTGTTATTGCCTACATTTGAATAAATAGCCAAGGTCATTTTTAATGGAGAATACTGGGTGTGGTCTTTTGGTTCTTTTGTGTGTGTGTGTGTGTATGTTTTTGGTTTTGATATTTTTGAGGTAAAATTGTTGTTGAATGTGATGTATTTGGAGGGAAATCGAGAGATTGCATAGGGGAAAAAAAAAACAGAAAAACGGAAAATAACTCAAAGATAACAACCTCACTCCAATGTAATTGGTCTGCTTTGGATGATAATTTTATGATTTCCAAGTGATCATCAATCATGGTGAATTAGTTGTTTTAGATTTGTTATTTATGATTTAATTGGTTCAATGTGGTTTGCTTGCAGTACAATGACAACAATGGAAACATATATTCAGATGTTTTCTGGGTAGCTGCATTGGTTCAATCTATTGGTGAACTTGAATTCGGACAACAGGTACTTGATCTGGTTCTCTTTAAGAATGTTCTTGATCTTATTGTTGATTCCTTTCGCTTTTATTTGGTCCCTGTTTACAAATGTAGCTTATTAGTTCTTTTATATACAACCTATATCTATTTGTTTACATATTCTATTGAGTGATTGTTACTAGTTTGAAAATTTTCCTTTTCTCCCGATTACAGTTGCAGCTCATCATACTTTTATATGCAATCACCATTTATTGTCTGTGTGCACATTTTATGTAATAGTTATCAAAATTTCTGTTCTAGTTAAATATGGTAGAATAGTTTTGTATTTCATGCTTATCCTTGCAATTGCACTAAATGGAAATATCATCTTTCGCAGAGTATCAACTATTTACCCTCCCTTTTGAAGCGGATAGATCGTCTTTTACAGTTTGACAGGTGGCACTTACTCATTGTCGGCTGCAAAAAACACATGAAGTTATTTGCATGATTTCGTTTCTGATATCGTTAATAATAGGTTAATGCCAAGTCACAATGGGATTTTGACAATCAGCTGTATCCAATCACTGACACAAATGGCACTCAAGCTATCAGAATTCATACCTCTGGTAAATTATTGCCTGGTCTTTTATGTGTGCTTAACTTGTCATTTCTAATGTGTGTTCACGTATTCAGGATCCTGTCATTGAACTAGTTGAACCATATCGGGTATCGAAAACATGGCAAATTCGAGTTGCAGCAAGCAGATCCCTTCTTGAACTTGAATTTCACTGCAAAGGAGCTGATGCTGCATTGACGTTGTTCATTAAATACCTCAAAGAGGAGACCTCTCTGCGAGGTTTTCTTCCTAGAGAATTTTCTTTCCCTCATTAGTTTCTGTTTGTTGCCTTTTCACATATATTGTTAGAAGTACATTTATTCTTGTGTTGTTATGGTCATATTCCTTAGTAGTGAGTTATTTGCTTAATTCTGTCCCACTTAGCATGCTGTACATACTGAATCAAATTATATCATTCTTGACAGGACAAAGTAAATTAGGCCTCTGTGCTTTGCGCCTGTCTCAGTTGACTAGTCGAACTGACAGTGACAGCAATGTAAAGAGTGACACTCTTGTTACCCTCCTGCGCTTGCTCGAGAGCCCTTTGGCTTTTAACAACATTATTCTCCGCCACCACATCTTCTGTATCCTTCAAGTTCTCGCAGGAAGGTAAATATACTTAACATTCCATTAATAACTATGAATTAATGCTGTATGATATCTATTAGATATACAAACACTCCTACATTATACATCAGCATACTTTGCTTTAGCTTTCCGCTTATTTGATCTGGATCAATCCTGCGTTTTGGTGACTAAAAGCTTTCTTATCTTTACTGTGCCAATACATGTTAAGGAGAGTCAAGGTTGTTGTGTAGATGTAACGATTACGGATGCGAGAATATTTGCTCGACTTCTTTTATATTTTATTTTGAAATTAATAACTGATAAGATCTTATCTGTTCAGGACGCCCACCCTTTATGGAGTTCCAAGGGATGAGACCTTGAGGATGGGACATACCAAGACTTGCAGTGAACTGAAAAACATTTTTGCTGCTCTTATCAAACAATCCAAGACTCCGGAGGCTTCTTGCCAACCTGAACTTCCACAGAACATGTTGGATCCCGAAGCTTACATGGAAGTAGATACTCGTGCAGAAAACCATGAATTAATGAAGACGGCGACTCCTCCCCCAACAGATACTTTACTAAATTTGGATATTCAACCAACAACAAATATTGATACTTGTACTCAACCCGCAACAGATGCTCCCGATAGTGTTCCTGAACAAAGGACCTCTGCATCACTTCTTCCGCAAGATGAAACAGCAACAGCCCCCAACATGGAGGTGCCTATTGTAGCACATGAGCCTATCTACCAAGTCACCAGTTCTTTACTGGAGATGCCAACCGATGCTGAGGCTTCAAGAAAAGCAGATGCACCACCTAACCTTCACCAAGAAATAAAACCTGTGTTAGAACCCGCACGGGATACTTTGGTCTCTGGGGAAGCAACCAAGGAACCTGATACTATCTCAAACAGCCGGGAAATTAAGAAGCCGAAGCTGAAGATAAGGGTCAAACAATCTGCTGCATCCAGTCGAGCAGAAGATCATGGTAAAACATCCAGCCGCGTTGAGAATACTGAAAACATCAGAACCTTAAATGCCCATGATGCTGAACGTGGAGCCACCAGTTCTATTTCTGTCGATGCTCCTCCTCATAGAGTTTTCACTGAGACGGTGAGCACAGGCAATCAGAACTTGGAAGATGCTAATTCGTACCAAGATGTTGGTTCTAGAGTAACTGCAAGTATAGGCAGTGTGAAACCTGCAGTCGATGGCGAAGAACTCGTGAAGGAATTACAATGCACAGCAGATTCCAGCAAAGTTTCTTTACCAGCAGCAGCAGACGACTGCATACCCACCAGCACTGCAAAAACCGATGGTGTCCCACAGAGCAGCGGGCAGCATCTGCACAGTAAAGACAAACACAAGAAAAAAGAGAAAGACAAGAAGAGGAAAAAGGATGAGCATAGCACTGATCCGGAACGCAGGGAATTAAAGCGACAGAAGAAGGAAAAGAAGCGAAAAGAGAAGGAAATGGCCAAGCTCCTTGCCGAGAAACCGAAAAGCATAATACCTCCAGCTCCAGCTCCAGCTCCAGCTCCAGCTCCACCTGAAAAAAGCATTGGTCCAGTTGGTGGCTCGAGTATACTCAAACCTGAACCAGGGAGTAAGAGTGAGCACCAAAGTGAAGGTAGACAGCAGGGTAACAACATTGGCGGGGATTCAAGAACAGACATTCCTGGGATGAGCGCACAACCGAAACCAACGGAAGCAGCTACGACGAACAGGAGTGGGAACGCGGCACCAGCACCAGCATCAGCATTGTCACATAAGATCAAGATCAAGTTCAAGAACCGGACACTTGGTAAGCAGTGAGTGATGATGCTATGCTGTGCTGTGCTGTAGAGTAAGAATGAAGGAATGCTTACTAGAGAGTTTTCAGTGTTAGGAATTATAATCAATCAATCAATCAATCATATTGTGGATGGATAAAAGGATAAAAGAATCTCATCTCTCATCTTGTTTACTAAGGTTATTAGATATAATATGTTGGATTTGGTCCGCTGTTAGTCTGTGTATTTGTACTTTTGTTGAGGGGAGGTGCACCACATATTATTATTATTTTATTTATTTTGTTGTCGTTATAAAAAAAATATATTATTTTTGTGATTTATAAACTTATTTTTTTCTCGATTTGATTAAATAATTTTATTTTGGGTCTGTTTTTTTAACATAAATCTCCTAAATTTTATTATTGCACTATGTATTTTCCTTTTTTTAAAAATATATATATGTATATTCTTTTTATTTTTATATATAAAATATCTTATTAGATCTTATTTCAATACAAAATCAAATCCAAAGAAACATGACTTTCATATTTATTCAAGTTTGGGCATGCTTGGTTGAAAGGACTACATGCACTACATTTTTATTTTATACTTAGGTTCTCTTTTTTTTTTTTTTTCTTTTTTCTTTTTTTTTTTCATATTAGATATGAAATAATGATTGTATTATTATTTTTAATGAATAGAGTATATATTATATATTTGTGTGGACATAGATTTCTTTTTTTTTTTATAAAATATCATATTTTCAAAATTAAAATCAAATAAAAATTTGAATTTAAAACTAAACAAACTATTATTTTCATCTTTAAATTTAGATATGGGACACTTGATTTAAATCGCTTTCGGTACAAAACTATTTTTAAGTTCAGTATCTCTTTGTTTTCACAAAGCACTGCATTCTCTATTTTTTATTTTCATTTACACTTAACTTTCTAATACTCAATTTTACCTTTGAAGGCACCATATAATATAACAAATATTGTATATATTTATGTTATTTTCATATAAACCTATGCTATTTAATTACGTACTCCATAATTATCTCGTTGTACAAAAAAAATGTCAGATTCAAAATTTAAACTAAAACTCTTAACAAAATCCACAATCCGAAGTTGTGGTTTAGTTATTTCTTCCAAACTTTCTCTCATTTCATGTTGTCCCTTGATGTCGAAGCCCCCCTGCCAAAGTAATCGCCGCTGAGCCTCCCTACAAAAATTTTTCCTGCCGTCATAAGTCTCCACTCACCACCAGAGCTCCGTTCTTGTTCGAGATGTCGAAAATAACCTCATCCCTTAAGTGGAGTTCGAAAAAGTAAGTTAATTTATATTTTTGGTAGGATTGAGTGATTGAGTTCATGGTATACTTTGATCTATTTTGTGCCTCAGTTGAGTTGTATAAGCCTTGATGATGAGTCATTTTCTTTAAAATCGTATTGTACTATCGAGTCGAATATGCATTATTTTGATGTGTTTTAAATTATAAATGATCTTGTTGTGTATAAAAGTACCTTCATTTGTATTTTTATAGGTTTACATTTATAGTAAAATGATTGAGATGTGAGACAGACGGTGCTTCTTGTTTTCTTCAAATATTGTGGGCAACTTGTTTTTTGTTAGGTGATTTTTTAAGTACTAAGTTCTTAGACGATGCATCTGTCATGGGGTTGGTTATAAATGTATATATTTTGTCGATTAGTAAAACTTATGTTTTTTTCTTTATATTGTTTGCGAGTGTCTCTCATTACCTTTGGTGTGCCTTAATTGTTAATTTGTCTATCTTGAATTGAAGATTACTTATCTTCGTAGTTATGCCATAAACTTGTATTTGTATTAAGTATACTCATGAAGACGTCTTTATTTTGAAATGATGGCAGACCTGAAAAAGAATACAAAGGGACTATCTCCAGATTTTCTATACCTTTCTTCTATACAAAGATGGCTAAACTTAAAGTTGAGATGAACAACGAACAACTGAAAGCTCTGCAACTCACACTGTTTGGGTATGTTCTAGATTGTCTGAAAATGAAGCTATCCTAGCATCAGTTGTGGGCAATTATGAATATTTTTGACATCGAAACTGAAAGAAACTATGGTAGGTGAAAACGATGTTGTGGCCATCGATAACTTTGTTAGACTAAATACATTGTTTGTCTTTGCCAACATTTTATTTACACAATATAGTAAAAAGACGTGTACTCACCATACCGTCTTAAAAGCATTGATGGGCACGTTCATTGTACACCTCAATGGCAAATGTTTACCTATAGTATAAATAGTCGTAATATGTTATGTGTATAATATTTACTCCTCATATATTCTAAAACCATTGTAAGAAAAATCCATATAAAATGTTAAATACTTGTATTAATCAATATAAGTTATATGAATATATAAACGAATGAAGTATTTTATAGGTCATATAATACCAATACGACTACATGAAAGACATAAAGAATACCAAGCACTATAAAAGGGTTTTATTTATATATACCTTCATTTCAATAATATATATGCCTGTATATATGATGTATACCTTCTAAAAAAGATAATGACCTTGTTGTGCGCATACAACTATTCCACAACTCAGCTATATTGTTATTTATTATGTCACAATGAGTCCCTTGGAAAAGAAAATCCGTCGAACATTGGGGCTGCAATTGTGCAATGAAGTTTCGGGAAAGTGCCTTGGCCTTAATAACAGACATTATATGTTGTTCAAAATCCTTCCATAAGGGAACATAATCGGCTTTGTTGAAAATAGGTGTCCATCATTTCTTGTTGTGCATTAAATATCTTTGTATTACCTATACGTGATGTAATTATCTTATTATACATATGTAGACACTAAATATATAGGTCTAAAATCAATTAAATATCATGTATTTTGGAAGAAAATAAAATTCCAATAAAATAAATATATGGTATTTAGTTATGCACACATGTTAATTTTTGTACAATAAATATCAACCATTAATGCAAAAATCTGCTTAAAATGGAAGATATCGTACAAATATTACGTGCATAAATAGAGCCATAATAAATTTGGCAGCAAAATAAATTAATCTTGTCAATAAAGAAATTATATAAATTAATATCTTCCAAACAAGGCAATGAATGATATAAAGATCTTGTCAATAAAGGAAGTATATAAATTAATATCTTCCAAAAAGGGCAATAATATAAAGATTTTGGCGAGAAAGGAAGGTGCACAATCAAATCCGTCAAGAATGGAAAACGGCATCCGATGGAAAAGGAAAGATTATAAAATCTTTCCATCCACGTAGCACCATCCGACAAGGAAGCCAAGGCCGCCCTCCCTTATAAATAGGAGTCATGACCAGTTCATTTGACACACCGAAGTTTCATCGAGGATTCAAACAAAGGGGTAAGTCTCTAGACTCTCTCTGTATTGTTCTTCATGTTCTTCGTGTCCGTTGAAAGTCACTAATTTGGACAAATGCTCCAATATTGGTTGACGAATCGATGAAGTTAACGTTCTTCGTCGTATGTCCAAGCTGAAGGAAGGATCAAAGCTTTCAAAGCCGTTGAGGAATTCGTCAAAGCCAAGGGAAGGTCTTCAAAGTTTCTCTCAAAGCTTCAAGGTGTTCATCGCGTTCTTCATAAAAGGCGCAAACTCGGCCCTCTTCGATCCAAAAGTCAAAGGGACACGCCGCCAAAAGCGTTATGGAGCACCAAATCCACCTTCTCAAAGATCAAAGCTGCGGATCGTTTAAAGAGGACATCAAATCCAAAGCTTAGGATCAAATCACCCGCACGGAGACCAAAGCCCTCCAAAAGCGGCAAAGACAAATCAAATATCAAAGCTGTGGATCGTCCAAAGAAGACATTAAATCCAAAGCTGAGGATCAAATCGTCCACGCGGAGACCGAAGCACTCCAAAGGGCGGAAAAAGCAAACCAAAGATCAAAGTTGCGGATTGTCTAAAGAAGACATCAAATCCAAAACCGACGATCGAATCGCCCACGCGGAGACCAAAGCCCTCCAAAAGCGGCAAAGACAAATCAAAGATCAAAGCTGCGGATTGTCCAAAGAAGACATTAAATCCAAAGTTGAGGATCAAATCGTCAACACGGAGACCGAAGCTCTCCAAAAGGCGGAAAAGGCAAACCAAAGATCAAAGTTGCGGATCGTCTAAAGAAGACATCAAATCCAAAACCGACGATCGAATCGCCCACGCGGAGACCAAAGCCCTCCAAAAGCGGCAAAGACAAATCAAAGATCAAAGCTGCGGATCGTCCAAAGAAGACATTAAATCCAAAGTTGAGGATCAAATCGTCAACGCGGAGACCGAAGCTCTCCAAAAGGCGGAAAAGGCAAACCAAAGATCAAAGTTGCGGATCGTCTAAAGAAGACATCAAATCCAAAACCGACGATCGAATCGCCCACGCGGAGACCAAAGCCCTCCAAAAGCGGCAAAGACAAATCAAAGATCAAAGCTGCGGATCGTCCAAAGAAGACATCAAATCCAAAGCTGAGGATCAAATCGCCCACGCGGAGACCGAAGCTCTCCAAAAGGCGGAAAAGGCAAACCAAAGATCAAAATTGCGGATTGTCTAAAAAATACATCAAATCCAAAGGCGACGATCGAATCGCCCACGCGGAGACCAAAGTCCTCCAAAAGCGGCAAAGCCAAAGTATAGGTCAAAGTTGTGGATCGTCTAAAGAAGACAACAAATCCAAAGACGATGATCAAATCGCCAATACGGAGACCAAAGTCCTCCAAAAGCGGCAAAGCCAAAGCAAAGGTCAAAGTCGTGGATCGTCTAAAGAAGACAACAAATCCAAAGACGATGATCAAATCGCCAATACGGAGACCAAAGTTCTTCAAAAGCGGCAAAGCCAAACCAAAGATCAAAGTCACGGATCGTCTAAAGAAGACAACAAATCCAAAGACGACGATCGGATCGCCAACATGGAGACCAAAGTCCTCCAAAAGCGGCAAAGCCAAATCAAAGATCAAAGCCTCGGATCGTCTAAAAAAAAGACATCAAATCCAAAGCTGACGATCAAATTGCCCGCACGAAGACCAAAACCCTCCAAAAGCCGGCAAAATCAAACCGAAGACCAAATCTCTTCGGATCAAAGAAGCCATAGAAAACCAAGTTGGAAAATAAATTCACCCGGAAGGAGAATCAAATGACCCATTTAGAGAATAGGACCCACTTTAAATTCAAATCAAATATAATTTGTACAAATTTT